GGGCATGTGCTCTGACCAGGAATCAAATCATGACCTCCTGGTTCATAGGTTGACACTCAACCATTGAGCCATGCTGGCTGGGCAGAAGGATGATTTTTAAATAATTTGGAATAATAATATACTAATATTGTTTAATATATTATACCCCTATCCTCCAAGTGAAGCTAAAATATGTCATGTGTATATACTTTTTAAATTTAAAAGTAAACTGTGTTTTAGTTTATATGACACCTGAGATGATTCAAGAAGGCTCTCCAAAAGATTTATTTATATCACAATTTCTTGCCTGACCTTTTCTCAACTTTATTGTGATATAATTGATGTATAACATTGTGTACACTTAAGATGTACAATGTAATGATTTGGTAAATGGATAAACTGTAAAATGATCACAATAAGGTTAGTTAACACATTCACTACCTCACATAGTTATCTTTTGTGTAGGGAGGGGGATGAGGATATTTAAGATCTATTCTTTTAGCAATTTTCAAGCATACAATACATTATTGTTAACTATAATAGCCATGTTGTATATTAGATCCTCAGAACTTATTCATTTCCTAACTGCTGACATTTCTTAATAAAATATGAAATAATATCCTAATTATTACTTTATCATCCTTAAGTAAATACTCCTCAATTGCACGCATATCACATTGTAAAGCATCTTTTCTTTTAAAAATTATCTCCTATAACATGATTATTTAAACTATATAGATATCATTGAATAACAAATACCATAGCATTGTCATTTAAATCCTAACACTTAGTTTTTAACTGAGAACTGCTCTAGAGGTATATTCAAACAAAGAAAAAGAGCATATTATTTTGGGGGAGTGTCTATGCAATGAAATTTATCAGTGTAGGATGATTGTTGCATTAGTGTGTAAATTACAAAATGGTTATTGAGGGGAAAATGACAAACTATGGTGAGGTACTATGGAACAGTCAGAAAGTGACTTGTAAATCCTAGTCACATGGATTACCCTTTGTTTAGGGCAGTAAAGTTACTTAAATTGTAACTAAGTTACAATTTAATTCAGTTACTAGTAATTAAGTTACTAGTCTGTGTGGGTTATTAGCCACAGGAGATATTTTATGTGTGTGGCTTGAGAACCCTGCTGACAAAGTAGTTGATAAAAATAGTCTTATAAGAGCACACTCTGAAACAGGCCTAGTACTCGTAGAAAAGTTGTGTAATCATTAACATTTTCAAAACAAAAAATGAAAAGAAAATATAAGCTGAACTGAAACAAGCGCAAATGTTTTTAATCAGTTGTTCTAGAAGAGCATAAATATTCCTAGGGTAATCAAAATTTTCAGAACACAAAATTTTACCTCATTAGGAGTTCAGACTGAGCTCAAGAGCTTTCTTTCTGTTGCTTTCTAGAGGTCGGTTAATTTGTCAGTTTTTGGTTTGTTTTTTTTCGAGAAACATGCTACTCTCATAGAGATAACCCTCCATGATCGTATAGTCTGCACTTCCAACTATTTTTTCCTGCTGTAAATGTTTACTACGTGATGTGGATAAGCAGAATGTTAGACAGTGATGCGACTCAGGAGACAGAGTCCTTGTAATAAATTCACTAGGAAACTGGAATGAGACATAAATATGCCCCCGCCCCCAAAAAAAGATATTACAGAAGATGGTAGAGTGGAGTCAAAATGACACTACAGCTTAAAGAAGGGATCAATTATTTCTGGTTGTGGGTGTCAGAGAGACAGTGTGGAACACTGATTTGTTTGGACCTGGATGCAAATTCCATTTCTGCCAATTACTAGGAGTGTGCATGTGACCGTAGGCTTCCTCCCTGAGCATCAGTTGCAGGGAAATACACACGCCTATCTTACAGCTTTGCTGCAAGGAATAGAAACACTAACAATGAATGACAAAAATCCTGGCACATTGATTGCAAGCATTAAGTAGTGTAGTTCTAGTATTTCATAATATGGGCTTT